TGTCCCATCATTAGTGGGGATGCAATTATTTGCCAATGGTAGGAACGGAGGGTGGTGTTTGTGAGTATGATGCGCTCACCTTATAGTGGCCACAATTGGTGTCCTTAACTCGCATGATTGGAGGTGGTGCGTTCTATTCGTCGCATTTGCATCTCTTCCAGTCAAGATGCAATGCGACGAAGTTGATGAAGTGCTTCAGCAGAACTGAGACAGTGTGAGTACCCTCGAATCACGGACGTTTGAGATGACATTGCATGAGTTGGGAGTGGCAGTAGGATGAGAGCGAAGACAATAATGGGCGCTGTGAGGGGAGTAATTCGTTTCTGCCTATGTTTTGTAGTGGATGGATATGAGCAACAGCATGGACTTTGCAAATAGTCACAAGTTACAATGGGGGATTCGGATCAAACCATTCTGATCAGTGTCAGTCTTTTTAATCATCTGGTTTGTGACATGTTGTCTGGAATTGATGTGACAGGCTTATTGTAACAACTTCGTGGTTATCTTTTGTTCTGCGCGAATGGCTGTTTGAAACCCGTGTTATGGTATTCGTATGCATCGAGTCATTGTTACCAACTTTGCGACAACTATTTTGTAAATAGGTTTTTGCGTTTTGTTTAGTGGTATTGTAAGTCACTTACTTTTCTGACTGAGGTTCTTTTAGCATTTGTGAGAGTCCCATCAGTATCAGGATTACTGTATTTTGCCTGTGACCGACGCCCACTGATGTGTGGTTGTGTTAATACTGCAATATCAGCAATTTCGGCTGTTAGAGAGGAATAAACCTCTTCCACTCTTCCGTTCTCTGCAGTTGGGCTGTCTTCATTTATGTGGGTTAAGGTGGGTGCATTGTTATGTGGTTATGGAAAATGAATAAGTTCGCTTTAATTTGGCTGTGGTTGGTTGCAGTCAACTTTCTGTTTCTTTTTGTCTAACCTCAAAAGTGATTGCATATACGAAAATTTTGAATCTCCAGTTGCCCATTTTATTGTTGGAATAAGCCTGATACTACCTGGGAACTTTAACTGAAAGTCAGCCCCACCATTGACCAGTTCAGGTATTTGTTTGTAGTACCTTTTTACAGAACTATTTTTTGGTTGTGCCAATTTTGAGGCCGTTTTAGTGTGCTACAATCCTGATTTGTGCCCTCC